GACAACCGGCGAGAATTCGGCGCGGAATCAGCGAGAGCTAGCGAGAGAATCGGAGCACGCGCTCGCGCTCGATAGAAAAAATGTATTCGCACATATTCTCGGCCCTCGGACAATAAAATTGCACTACCCGTAAAAAATACAATTTTCTACGCGTCGCTGCTTCTCTCGAAACATAGAAAATACGCTGCAACCGCGACCACTACGTTAGACTCTTTTCAACAATTGCTACATAACTCTCTCTCTCTCTCTCTCTCTCTCTCTCTCTCTCTCTCTCTCTCTCTCTCTCTCTCTCTTTCTCTGTACATACGCGCAACCCGATCGAACGAAGAGCATTGTTGTTCCGTAAAAATCGGCCACTGTGACTCCCGTATTCGATCCCGCCGTGTCGCGTCGCGGTGCGCGAATTTCAATGTAGAATTTGAAATCGTCGAATCCGATTAGAGAAAGACGAGCGCTTCTCGGGATCGAATACGCGAGTCGCCGTCATTCGTGGTCGCGTAATTCGCATAATTTACGTAATAAAATCTTCGGCACTGTTCAACGAGGATATCCTTTTATTGTGAAACTTCGCACAACCCTCGGAAATGATCGAACGGATTATTCTCTGATCCCGTTTCGAGAAAGTTAGGACACGACGAGTACACGAGTGCACAGAATCGCGCGGGAAAAAATTGACTTTCGAGAGAGCTCGATATCTTGAATCGCGACGAGATTTCGATCCGGCGAATCGTGTACTCGGTCGACGATCGTCCTCGGGTTCGTTCGACGAAGAGGCGCGCGTACAACAGCTCGAATCTAAAACGAGTGGCCGCGAAGTTTCGGGGCGCCAAGAAAAATACCTGGTCTCAAACGGCTGCGATCCAAAAACTTTGCTCCCAATTAGAAAAGCTCTCTCTCTACGCCTGTTCTATCTCTATTCTCGCTATCCGTAATCTGTTTTACATGTTCCGCAATATTTTACCCCTTACACGATTACGAGAACGTGTTTCTTTTTTTTTCCTTTTTTTTTTCTAATGATGGTCCGTTTTCATTTCACAGCGTTTCGTAACAACTTCAAATAGTCTCTGAGTTTTCAACTATACGATAGAGATCGCCTCTCGCGGCGGGTACGTGTTACAAATATATACATGCACCGGGTGTCGTCCCGTCTCGATCGACAAATGCGATTCTCTACAGAAGACTGTTCGTTATTCGATCAAATAATTCATGGTATATGCATGAAGGGCACACGAAGCTTATCGTTATCTCTTCTTCTTCTTCTTTTTTAACGGAATTGTATAATTTTTTAATATGCACCATTCGACGCGTCTCAGAATTCTGAATAGACGTTGTTAACCGATTTATGCTGACAAACCATTGCTACAGGAGGTATTTGAATTTTAACCCTTTGCAGTCGAAGCTATTTGAATTCGAAATCCAAAACATGATTTCTGATCTACAGTATTTCTATTTTATATAATTTATTGCGATTCGTGCGTATGAAATTGAACCTATTGGCAAGTACAATGCAATTTTAATAGTTTTTTTTTAAGTACAAAAGAGTCTGATGCTCTTAGAATGATTTTGAAAAATAGTATACCAATTTTTAGTGGCGCCTCAGAGTCGCCATTCGAGTACAAAGGGTTAACACTGCGAATATCCCTAATGTGCATGATTATATAATTCCGTGTTCATGCGTACACTCACAGAAAAAATAGTATCGCCGCATTACGCTCTTCCCTTTCCCGAAAATAGAAAAAGTATCGTATGAAAGATTTTGTTCGAGCAACGAACGGCTCTGGAGATAATCACATTTATCGATCACAATGGGACACCCTGTAAGTATGCGTATGTGTGGTGTATGTCCTATGTATGTATACATATACAATATATATGTATATATAACACATAAGCATACCGGTAGGGCAACAAATTTCGAATTGCTCGTCGCGATTATCCGCGAAACAACCAAAATTTCCTTCGAACTCGAAATCAATGAATTAAAAACATCGATTCCCAGAGTTATTCCAAATTGATGGCTTGAGCCGCGTGTGTACAGGGTGTCTGTCTGGTAACCGGTACGAAACTCAGCTTGGAACGGCGCTGATGCATTGGAGAAAGAACGATGGCAACGGGTTCGATTTTCGCGTTACGTTTACAAAATGAACACGGCAGAGATATTTATCAACTTCGACATCGCCGCTTCTTGCTTCTTGGTCGGTTCTCCGGTCCGTTGCCAGACAGTCTGTATAAGAGAACGGGTAAGAAAAATGTTTTATTCCGCGCGTCGCTGCCTCTCGCTTTCGATCGCCGACGATAGATAATAAATAAATCGAATGATCAACGATCCGAAGCGAAAGTGGTCGGTGTACAACAACGTTTCTTTCACTGGGCATATATTTCGCATCGAGAGAGAGATCTCGTCTCGCTCTCGGTTACAACCGTGGTCTCGATGTCATTCAGGAGCAACTTCTGGAATTCGAGAAGGAAATCCAACCAACGATAGATAACGTTTGATTACTGATTACCGATTAGTATTAGATATCCATTGGACCGATAACAAGTGAACATATATAGATATATATGTATGTAATGTATGCATATACATATATATATATATGTATAGATTGTTTAGATGTATATATGCGTAACAATGACTCTGTGACTCTGTGTGCAGAGGTGCATAGATTAATTAGATCAACTGCAAGGAAACTGTAGTAAAAACAGCTATGGTCGCACGCAGGCGTTTTTCTTATGCTATTCCACTATTCAGTGTACAAAGGAATGATCCAAATTCGGTATAAGTCGGTTAACAAAATTAATTTCAATCGATTAAAAGAGATAGGATTTCCGCGAATTTTCGTTTGTACACCTAACGGTCTATTTTGTACAGTATATTTATAATCTCGAAGTTCACCACCAGTATACGACGTACATACGTAAATATTTAGAAAAAACGAAACAATTTTTATTTCACGTATTGTTTTTCATGGTTTATATGTAATTATTTGAACACCTCTGTGTCGTAGAAGAAGCAAATTTCTCTTTAAGTATTCCCAGGGCTACTGGACACTCACTGTTCTGTGTCCAGCGAGATGAGACACGCAACGAAAACTAGTTCTCTCTCTCTCTCTCTCTCACACACACACATACTCTTTCTCTTTCACACACACATACTTTCTCTCTCTCCCTCTCTCTCCCATTTCCTCGGTCAAGTATATTTGTCCGTGTAACGCGTGTGTACGTGTGAGTTTTTTTTTCTATGTAACTTACATGTATTTCATATTAAAAATATACATTAAAATGTATGTACAATGTATTGTTTACGTACACCATTCAACAAGTTCCCTAGCTTTAGAGGTATCGCTACGTATATGTTTGTTTTCTCCTCTCTCTCGTGTGTCTGTTCTGTCGTCTGCCTGTGTGTGTCTCACAGTTGAAATAGATCGGTAAGCGAACGTAATCCTTGCCCTATGCTTTATGCATCACGAATGTTATTCGACTCAACGAGACCGAGTGTCGGTGGATCGAAGATTAAACAGTAACAACACAGACGTCTCTCAGACAGTTTCCAATATCGAAAATTATCATGCCCTGTAACCAGACAGCGGATTTTCCTGCAGACTTTCCATTGCTTGCTTCCTTGTTTGCTCATGTTAAAACGGAATAGAATAACACGATTTCCCTCGTCGAGGCAACAAATTGTTTATCTCGTAAATTAATTAACAAATAGAAGAGAGGTCGCAACAATTATCCGCCGTTTATACGCGACACGCCGTACAAACCGAGAACAATTCATAATGGTAGCATCGCATTTTGGATTTTGTGCAGTTCATTCTAGAGATACTTGGATTTATGCGCGCGCGCGCTTTGGATCGTGAGCACGAGATCGTCTTCGCCAAACATTATTTTTTTCGAGCGTGGTCGAGCGTGACAAACTGATAGAAACGATCGTTAGACTGCGTTTTAAGATTTTAATCGAACGCAGAAAACGATAACTCGGATGTGTTCGAGACGACCGGAACTTGGCTTTTCGACCAATTACACAATTATGGAAATTTATGAAGATGCAAACTATCGGTGAACATATTTTTCTTGTTGTTGTTGGCAGATTTTTTTACGGTCGGCACGTTTCGCGCGAAAGACGCGACAAATTTGAAAGAATGCGCGCAGTCTGACAATCGCCTGTTCGTTTTGGAAACGCGTATCGACGTTCTCCCATTCGTGAAAAAATAGAACTTCTGAGGCGTACAAGGAACTGTTCTATCATCGATTCTATGCTAAATAATGGAAGGGTCGATCTCGAAGTCACGACTAACAAATGCACTCGATGCGATAGATTATTTGTGCCGTAGGATTCCGTTCGTTCGAATATGTTTGCGTAACTACATCGGTTAACGAAAAGTTATCTGACGAACGCAAGACACGCGTCGCCGAGAATAATGCAGAAGTTTGTGCAAAACCTGCTGCAGCTACTGAAAACGGTCGGACGAAGCGCATAACACAGTAACACAGAAACTCTTCTGAGAAACGGTCTTACAATATTAGGTAATTAATAATATAATTAACAGTAATTATATCATTAAACGATCCACCTGTCGCGGCTAAGAAGTATCTGGAACCAATTTAAAGTATCGCAGATTATCTTTCAAGGATTTAATTCAGGCATGTACACTTAAATTCACACAGCGACATATACATATACATATATATATTATATATATTGGATATATACATTATATATAAGTATACATAGTATCGGTTCGAATACAATCAATTTTGCATCAATAGGAAAATGTTTAATAACTAGTGGAGACATTCTTTTATATATATATATAATATATATATATTCGCGCGCGTGTGTGTATATGTGTGTCTGTGTGTGTGTATATATATATGTATATATATAGTTTTTTAATACATTAAATCTTACTTTTTTTCGTTATGAAAAATAACAATTTCTTTATACTTTTTTCTCCTTTGATAAAAAAGTGTGTTGGCTAAGAGATTGCACTTTGTGATCATCTTAAAAATTTGTGATTAATTATATTAGTGACTATACACAATTGTATCTTATGTTTCTCGCACACCGATTGTTCGTACAGTCATCAGATACGTTACTATTATAAGTTAGTAAAGAACAAAGTTTATTCGTCGAAGATTATACGGCTTCCTTTCCATCTCGTTTCATTTCAACGTACGCGTACGCGTATAATCTTCGGTCACGATTATAGTAAAGACTGACTTGCCGGTGTTGTCGGCCCAACCGGAGAGATCATCGTTCAATTATCTCTTGAAAATTTCGATTCGATAGGATCTCTTCTCTTTCCATTTTAGTCGTTCCAAGCCGAAGGATGTTCGATCTCAATGGCGCCGCGGTTTCGAATCACGATCCATTGTTTTTCGGCATCAACGCGAGTTGACAGTTTATTTTTCGTAGTTGCACGCACGATGCACTCTCGACGACCAGGAGGCGCGCGCGCGCGAGCGTGTGTTTGTGTATGTGTAGATGGACATGATTGTACGTATGTGTTTATTTTGCATGTGTTGAAGGAACACGCGCGCGCTGACAACGTGGGCAAGTCACCTGAAAGGAGGGCCACAAATGGTGCCAGGCACTATTTATTCATATACCGTTTTGTGTATTCCATTAATTACGTTCAAATTACGTTCAATTACGCTATATAATGTACCAAATATGATTCTTGAGAGCAGCTCAAGTGTTAGGATACATCCTGAGATTGAGTAAAGCATAGGCTGAGACCATCTCGAAGCGGTTTTAACCACGAAGAAAACAACAATTGTGTGAATGTGTGTATGTATTTTGTGTGTGTACGTCTTAGCGCGCGCGCGCGCGCGCGCGCGTGTAGCTTTTCGAATTGCAACCCTGTCCGGCCGAAATGTTCTGGATATGACGATTTGATAATGCGAGGATTCTAAGTCACCGAGAGAGATTTCCGTTCCGATAGAATGATCGGTGGTTGGACAAGGTCTAGACTGCGTGTCGTTGTATGTCATCTTTTTTAGGTTCGAAGGGTTGCAAATGTTCCTTCCTCTCGTCCGTCTATATCCTATTTTTCTCTTTCATATCAAATGTGCAAAATACTTGTGAAAAATGTATATATAACGTATCATCGTATGTATACAGATGCGAGTTTGCGTGTATATACCTTTGCTCTTTATCCTCCATTAATAATCAACACTATATAATAATATGCTTATCTCACATAGAATATTTGCGTATATCTCTCGTCTATTACCTCGCGACAATCAATATATTAACATTTCTCGATTGTGTTCCGCGGGAACGTATCGTAAAATTCATCTTGAGTACAGCAGCCGATTTATCATTTATACATCGTTTTCCTTAGCGGACATAGACCGTTAATTTATAAGTTCGCTAAAAGAAAAAGACTCTCCACTTGCGTCAAAAACGAAAACACAATACCAACGGTCAGCGTGCACGTTTCGCGGTTCACCGTTCCTCGAGTCGTCACGAATATATGTATGATATATCGGGGAAACTTCGATCAACGGTGGTTGTTTTTCCGATGGACCGCGAAACGCGAACGAATCGTTAAAAACTAAAAGGAGAAACGAGTAAAAGACGAACCACGATACGCGTATATATGATCTTCAGATATTTTCCACGAATAAAATTGTTGCACGATCCTTCGATTTTCATTTTTAAGAATAGTACGGTTGGTTTTACAAGCGAGTAGTAATTACCATTTACAAAAATAAAAGAAGTGTAGAAAGACGAAAAAGAGAGAAAAAGGGAGAAAAAAAATAATAATAAACGAAAAAAAGAACGAAAAAAGAGATTGTAGAATAAAATTTCTATCGCTAATCGAATATCATTATTTTCTGACTAGGCATTCGATTCAAAGAAATTATGTTCATCGTTTCCATTGGCATTCTTTGCGTAAACGTCAATTAACGGATTATGCCGCGAACTCGTCTACCTACAATCAACCCGCAAACAGAAAAAGAAACAAGTTAACGAAGTACAATTATCGGTAAATCCCTAGCATAAAAATTCTAGAACGTGGTACGCGCAAGCTCTTTTCGATAGATAGATTATAGAAATTCGGTCTGCCGATGCACCTAAATCCCGAAAACACCGCTTGCTCCCGAATCGCGATTCTCTCTATCCAGTCTCCGATAGAAACACACACCGATTCCTCTTTTTCCATTTCGTTTGCTTCCTTCCGTTCCGGGTTCCGAGTTTCGGGTTTCGGATTTCGGATTCCGGAAAGAATTAACCGTCGCCGCAGCGACAAGTACCAAGGACACAATGCCATATCACGAAGAAAATGACAATGAATTAATGACATATATACAAACAACTTTCATGCATTATATACATGAAAAATATGTATACGTACACATTACGTGTGTGTGTATATATATATATACACATATATACGTACGCGTGCAACCATTAGGGACATGTGTACGTGTTTGTGTGTGTGTCTATGTATACACATGTATACATATAAATATACATATACGTGTAACGCTTCAACATTATGGCACCGTTTTTTTGTTGCTTTTTTTTATTAAAATCGTCAAACAAACGCATTCTTCCACGGGCTTGAAAATATAAACAAATTTCTGTTTTCCATCCACTGATTCGGGCCGCCGCCCTTATTTCGACGCCGTTCGCCGTCCCCTTTCTCACATATATATTCACGTTTTTTCTGCCCGATCGTTCCCCATTTTTTTGGGCGTTTCAGACGTTTTTCGGCGGTTTTGGGCGTTTCGGGCGCGCTACTACGGGGCTCACCGGAGGGAGAACCAGTGGGCAAAACCGTGAACCGTAGCCTACGGATACTTCGAGTCCTGGAGAGCTTCACAAGCACTAAATGACGCCGTTGTACGTGGAGGTTTTCGCAAAAACAACCGAGCCGTGACTCCGCCCGCGCCTAATTTAATATTAAGTCGCCCAGCCCTCGGTGATCCGCGAGCGCTTCATCAAAGGCCCGTTCTCGTAGTCGGAGTTGTTCCCGGCGTTTCCGGCAGCGTTCGAGTGACTTGTTCGGATATCGGCGACCGTACCGCTACCCGGTGACGGCAGATTCGTCGGCGTTATGCTGCCCGAATGGGACGCCGGTGGGTTGCTGCTCGGTCTGTTCGATACCAGATTCAACGACTGAGGCCCGGGATGGGGCACGTGGTGAGGCGGCGGTGCCCCGGTGCTCGACGACGGGCCCACGTTCAGGGTCGTATGATGCAGACTGCTGCCCGTGCTAGGGCCGCTACTCGTCGAGCCGCTGTTACCTCCGTGCGGATCCCTGGGCGGACTGATCGGCTCGCTCTTTATCTTCACTGGCAACGGTGAAGTGGCTGGCGGCGGTGTACTACTCGACACGGCCAGATGCGGAAGACCACTGTAACAACACGATACAGCTAACATTTGCTCTTAACCAGTGTCCAAGAAAGCGTCAACCTTCGAACGATAACGATGATGGTCACACGATCACAACAATAGTCCCGCCTGACAAAGTATGCGCGCACAACGGTGCACGGTTAAGTTTACGGTCGATTCAAAGATCATCGATTGCGCAGAAAAGATACGGGCACGATATCTATCGATACGCTAGGTAAAACGGTTACGCTAAATCAGGAAAAAAAGAACTATAGACCTCCAGTAGACGATGGAATACGACAGGGTGTTGTAAGATGGTATATGCTCCAATTTATCGTCCAAGATCTATCGGACGTATAGTTTTCTTTTTCAGAAGTATAATTATGAAATATGTGATTTACCTGATGCTGGACATGGTGGCTGCCGAATACATTGATAAGTCATCAACGTACCTCTGATGAGACCATGCTAAACTCCCGAGGTCTGAGGAATAATCCGTTGGTCCGAAACTGGAGTAACCGGCTGGGACCGATGGCGTTTGTAGCGCTACCACCGGTGTGTTCAATGCTGATTGCGCATGGCCGCTCTGCGTACCGCGGACAGAAAAAATGAGAAACAGCACGGATTAGAGGGAGGCTCGCCCGACAACGGGGTGACAGAGTCACACACGGAGTCACGGTACATGAAAGGCCACCGTTCAAGCAATCGGAGGCCTTTCCTTGTCGAAACGTTCAACGATGTACGCATACGCCATTCGAAAAGACAATTTGGACAGTCTGGACATAGCAAAGATCGTAGCGAGAACTTACTCGTTGCTCTCGAAATTTACCCGCGTAATTATTCGTTAGACATTGTCGCTCCGTTTGGCATTGTTTCGAGTATCCTGGCAAGCATTCGTTTCTAGCAGAGCCTGTGTGTGCACGGTCTTTCGTATGTCCAACCGAGAACCTTGTCTATACGTTCCAACACTTACATCGTAACTAGTGTCGTCGGAAAGGGGTTGCGTAAGGGGTGTTGGAATAACTACTCGTAGATTAGTCCTGTGAGGATGTGGCGGCGGTGGTGGAGGCGGAGGTTGCGGCGAATGCCTTGACGGATTACTGCCTTTGTTTGCGCTGCCTCCTCCGACTCCTAGCGCCGGTGAAGGACCCGGACTAGGGGAGCCACCCAGCGGCGATGCCGACGGGGGATATCCGTTGCTCATTTCCAACATCCCTCCAGGTGGATACACTGAAAACCATTGAATCGGTTAATCGGCCAGTTGATAATTGTTGGTCGGCAACATTCTCCACGGACGGCGAACAAAGACAATTACAGTTAACAACGGTGTTGGAGAAACAGGTACCTGAGTCAGTTTCAGAAGACGACGGTCGCGGAGAAATGCTGGTATGGGCCATTTGAGGACTAGATCCAAGTAGAGATTCGCCGAAACTATTCACTGGTACTGATACTGGTAGAGTGTAATTAGACTGCCCCATTGCCTGAAATCCCATCAAACCAAAGACAACACGGTTACCAACACGGATACCAGCATATGCTCGCGGTAACACGACTCGCGGATCCGTTTCCGTTGCTCGAATCGTTCGCATATTTTAAATCATCCGTCGTATTCTATCGCATTCGCATTCGCCGCATTGTGTTTGACATTTTTACAAGATGGATCGAGCATCGAACGTACGAAAATAAGCGTCGAGCCAACCTAGCGAACCAATGCGAATTAAATCCAAGCCGCGCGCGTCTCGCCTCTACAATTCGCGCGTCCGATCGCGCTCGATGTTAATAAATTATTTAGAACACCGTTGAAAGGTAATCGAGACTGTTGCTCGTGCGAAAACTCGGCGCGGCAGATTCTCATGGGGGTGCGACGCTGGCCAAGAAACGGGACCGTATATATAACCGTATCGTTGGAAAAAATATCTATCCACAGTTTCTTTGGGCGAACAGGGGACGGAGGGAAAAGGAGCGGAAATAGGAGCTAAATGGAAGGAAGATACTTGGAGATTGTTGGAGACTGGCCGAGATACTTACGCGGGTACCGTTGTGCTGGTGCCTCTGCATCATCAGCTGAAACTCCTCGTCGATCTTGGTGTATTTGGCTTCGGTCCGCGGAGTCAGATTGTACTCGATCGCGTCCGGCTCCGGACTCTCTGGCGACATGGCACCCTTATGTTCCTTCTTGTTGAGTGCCTGCAAGTGTCAGCAGACAGGTTCACGTGACCACACCGCCCGAGGGCACTCAACCTTCGCATGCACGTTAATTTAAACGCTAAACAGCGGAGAGGCTGGCTGGTTGGTCAGCCTCCCTCTCCCTTTCTCTCTCTCTCTCTCTCCCTTTCTTTCTCTCTCTCTCACACACACACACATACACACACATATACCAACTTTCCCTCTCTTTCCCTAGTATCACAACCGTTCCCGACAATGCTGCCTATCGGCGACCATCTCGGAAGCGTGTACAATTGTTCGCGAGATCCACACGAAATCGCGTAACGCGGTTATCCGACGCGACACGCTAAAAGACGCAAATGATTCTATGAATCCGAGACAATGCTTCCATGATGAATTCAAGTCGTGCGATTCGCCGGCAACCATTGCTCCTATTAATTTCGGGTCCGATTTCTTCGACTAATTATCGCGGAAATTTCTACCTAGGATTTATTTAAACGGTTCTGCACCTTATCGACGGGCAGCCATGTATCATGCGATATACTTATACTTCGTTTAAGACATCTAGATCTTTTTACTTACTAAATGATTATTAACACGTTGAATGCCATGGGGGTCACCGGTGACCGGCACTTAACTTGGACGGTGACGCCATGGGGGCCACCGGTGACCGGCGCGCCCAAATTGATATAGAAATATATATAATTTCAAACAAATGTCAATATCTAAAATTTTGTATCATTAGCATCGTCGATTCAAACAGTGACCCCTGTCGCAATTAACACGTCAAACATGGTTATACAATGTAACTTATCTATTGCAGATAATATTTCAACATTCTATGTATCATATAAAAGAAAATTCATCGTGGCGCCACGGACAATTTCTGTAAGACCGGCGTGGCATTCAACGTGTTAATGCAAATAAATAAAGGCTCACGGTTCCGTCGATAAGACGTTGAGAACCGTTTCCTCGCTCCGCGAGCGAATGCGATTCACGGTTTAGCCCAGCCCTGATTAGATCGACGCCAGTTACAACGCTTTACTCACCATAATAATATAATCGTCGGTATTTTAAACGATTCGCTAGGCCGCGACAAGTTCTTACGGTTCGAATCGGACCACCCGGTGGCGTAAGCATCGAAAACACCGCAGCATATTCCCAACAGGAAGGGCGTGTGTTGCTGGTGCACGCGCAAGCAAGCATATTTGCAACAATCTCGTGTAATTTCGATGATCGACCGGTGAAAAAGTTAATAAGCGGCGACGCTGCCTCGGGGATCGTGCAATTTTTCGCAGCGAAATCTCTCATTTAACCGGTACACGATCCACCGAGATAGCCGATACACCATCCGGCCGATCCTATAAATCCTACTTTGAAAACGATCCACGACGCTCTCGCTTTTCTCTTTTGCTTCTTCAAAGATTCCTCTCTCTCTCTCTCTCTCTCTCTCTCTCTCTCTCTCTCTCTCTCTCTCTCTCTCTCTCTCTCTCCGACGACGGGGCTCCAGTTTCTGTTCGTTCTAACGGGTAAAGCGTGCGTCCGCGTTTCCTGCCGATTCGTTTCGAGAAAACCGATGGAACCGTTCCGTTTTTTAAATAAGAGAACGACGGCGAATGCGTCAACGGATTACACTAATTTCTCCCTAATTTTCCTTCAGCTTGTAGACAAAAATTGATAGTTCCGGAAGAGGAGATTGTTCGAGCCTTACGTCTCGCTTTTATAATTGTTAACAATAATCGGTAGCTATAAAAATGAGTCGAACAGTCGTGTCTCCTCTCCCCAAATTGTGTGTATATTTATGCGCGCAATCTGAGCGCGAATCAGGGAGAAATTGCTGTAAACTATTTATCGATTCCGCTTCGCCCGTTTCTCCTTTCCGAATCCCTCTCGAATGACGCGTTAACGTTGCGACCCGACGATCCGGTGGTCTATATCTGCAGTTCTACCCCGTCTATCCGTGTCCTAGCCGTTATCTATCCGTGCGTGGGTATCCGGGCATGGGCAAGGCGGCGGCGGGTCGGTGGAGCCGAAGGATTCTAGAGATTTTCGGCGGCTTCCCCCTCTGGAACCTTGACCGTTACTCAGGAGAAATCGGCTCACCTCGATGATATTCTTGTTGGTGAGGGACTCGTGGGGTTCGTTGTACTCGGTGTACTTGAGAAGAACCTTGTCCATGTCGGTGCTCGCATACTGATACAGCTTGTTGCTCGAGCTGAAGATAATCAGCGCGATCTCGCAGTCGCAGAGCACAGACAGCTCGTACGCCTTCTTCATCACGCCGAATTTCCGTTTGTTGAAGGTCACCTGTTGGCCGACAGAGATATTCCGTTAGTCGTGAAATCCGTGCTCCAGCAACCGAGAAGGGGATGATTCGAATTTTCCCGGATCGAGCAGCCGTCGAGATCCGCTGGATCGCGATCCAACGAGATCCGTTGGATCGCGATCGCTTCGGCGCCGGCTCTGCGACCGTAATTGCTTCCCCCCTCTCTCTCGCTCTGTTTACAGAGTTCCGGATTATTCGGTTAATATCTGCCGAATGAATTTCGATTAGCATAGGAGGAACGTTTCGATAAGATAAAACAGGCGGAAAAAGATGGGTAGCGATTGCGCGCGCGCGCGCGCGAACACCGGCATCCGTGGTGTCGGTGTTTGATCTCGGATAAGGAACGACGCGCGGTTCACGTGGATGCGTATCGGCATTGGTATCGATACGTATCGACGCGGAGAACAAACATTTCGAGCGACGATTACCCGCATCGCGTGTAAACCGATTAAGGCCAATGTAAATATTAGCCTTTCGGCGTTTCCGTTTGTCTTTCATCGGAACAATCTCGATGGTCGATCGAACAAGTGTAAAAAATAGTCGCCGGCGACCGGATCCACGGTTGCCAGACGATTAAGCCAGATTACAAGCCGACTCGAGATCCGGTGCTCGCGAACAACCATGCTCGCGTCCACGATCGATCTCTCGCGTGAAATGTTTAACGATCTTGCCCGGAGAACGGAAGAGAGAAGAGTAAGTACCTGACGATTCCGTTCGTCCGTGATGCGCGAAATTTGAATCTTCTTCCGACCCATTTTTGCACGACGCTGCGGAGCAAGGACAGCTCTTCGGAACCACTGGATGGAATATTAGAAACGCTGCAACAGAAAGACAAAACGATACACTGCACTTTCTCTCTCGCTGGAAAATAGGAATTCGTCGGCTCCGTCGAAAGGCAACGCGTATATGCTGCTGCTGCTGCGAGCGTTGCGGACACGCGAAGCGAGCGGAGGAATTTTTATCTTTTTTTTTTTATCCAACAATAGGATATAATTCGATCTCGCCGGTGGATCGTGGACGGCGAACGGTTATTAAACGGAGGCTTCAATGGAGCAACGCGCCGCCGCCGGTTGTTTTCCGTCGAATTTCACGTGTCATCGAAGTTCGCCCCGTTCGCCCGCGGTTCGCGTCGCTCGCCTCGCGACGTCGTTAATCGATACGCGGAATAACGACACACGTGCTTTTATGCTGGCCGGCAGGTTTTAACGCATGGTCCAGTTCTGTCGACTGTCGCCCGCGTTCGCCAACTCCTCCGCCACGCTTTTCTATGGGACTCTCCCCGACTCTCTCGCGCGCCAACCATCCCTTGCACTCCCCCGGCCGCGACAACTTGTTCGTTCTTTTTGTTTTCGAGCGCGCTTGTTGAATCGCGAAAGTTCCTCGGTCCTATTCGAGCAACGATATATTTCGCGTTGAAATTGTCATCAGCCAAGCGAGCCTCGACTGTCGCGCGGAACCTCGCGCAGCAAAAAATACCGGCGTCTTTCGAACACGTTCTCGTCTAATCGTATCTGTTTTTATTCGTACAATATATATATAGAATAAATTAGTCGAGAAATATTTCGAATATATTCTTCGAGTCGAATTATTATTATTCGTATAATATGAGCCGTTTCTTTTGAAAGTGGCATAAGTCACTTTGTTTTGAAGTCGATACATTTAAGGGTTTGCATCTTAACACGTTTAAAAATATGGATGCTAACTTTCGTGAAGATTTACTCGTATTTGTTATCTCGGGATACTGACATTTTTCTCGGTATAAATAATTTCGTATAAACATGAAAAAAATCACCACTTTTCATTACGGTAAAGCGACTTATGCCACTTTCAAAATAAACGGCTCATATCTCGAATATGTTTTTCGAATGAAATTTAATTCGTGAAATATCTCGAATATGTTTTTCGAGTCAAACTTAATTCGTGAAATATCTCGAATATGTTTTTCGAATGAAATTTAATTCGTGAAATATCTCGAATATGTTTTTCGAATGAAATTTAATTCGTGAAATATCTCGAATATGTTTTTCGAATGAAATTTAATTCGTGAAATATCTCGAATATGTTTTTCGAATGAAATTTAATTCGTGAAATATCTCGAATATGTTTTTCGAATGAAATTTAATTCGTGAAATATCTCGAATATGTTTTTCGAATGAAATTTAATTCGTGAAATGTCTCGAATATGTTTTTCGAATGAAATTGAATTCGTGAAATATCTCGACAAAAATTCTTCGAATCGAATGCGATTCTTACGATATCGCGAGCGAATTCTTCGAATCGAATTTTATCCCCGCGTAATATCTCGAACAGATTCCCCGAGTGAAATCGTCGAACGAAACGTTATTCGACTGATTCCAAACTCGGGAGGGGAGAAAAAACGCGATCGAGGGTGTTTTCGCGGCGTTCTCCTCGAAGTACGCGGCATGGGAATATGTAAATGCGTGGCGATCGGGACCGGGTATGTATTCGCGACGTCGGCCAATCAACGTTTATTATGTTTTTCATGCGCGCGAAACTGATTATCGACTGATTACAGAGGACATCTACTGGCTCGCGGTGTTCGAGCACGCGGTTATCTAGGCGCCAGCTCTGCAATTCGTCGGAAAAGCATCTCTGGTCGCGATGATTTTCCGGTTTCCCTTCGTTTTTCTTCACCGTCGTTAGAGCAAATTGCCGCACGAGATAGCCGATGCGCGCCGGTAATTCGACGTGCACTCGCCCCGTGTACTTTCGAGGGAAGCTGCGACGACAAAGTCGATTATTACGCAGGTTAATTGTCAACGATAAAACGGTGAGCGACCGGCCGGCCGGCCGACCGATCGATCGATCGATCGATCCGCCGTTACCGATCGTTTATTAGACGGCCGTGTTCTCCTAATTGCACCAGCGTCCCAATTATTTACTTCCGCCTTTTGGTCGACGTACACGTTTTATCGGTGAACCGCGCACGATCCTCCTCCGGGCCGACACGAGAACTCCGGAAATTCCGGAGAATTCTCCGGTCGCCTTGACTCCGCCGCCAAATGTCAATTAGCCTATCTATCGCTTTCGAAGCGAAGTAATCACCGTGTGCAACTGTTTGCCGAAGTACCCGACGATTCTGCTAATCAACGAAAACACGCTGCTCCCGCGTTTCTTTCCTGCCACCACGGCGATCTTTGCGCAATTTGACCGTCGAGGACACATTCGGTCGGTCGAATATTATTAGATCGGGCATCCTTAGTGCGAAAGAAACATTTTTATTCGATCGGTTGCGAAGGACAAGCGTCGGCGAAATTTTTCATCATTTTTAGCAGATCCTGATACGTAGATTATTATTAAATGCTTTTCGAGAAAAATTATTATTATTATTATAAAATGCTTAACACATTAAAGGCGGGGGATCTTGACGAAAGTATGCTAGGTAACGCGGCGACCGCCCCCGCCTCGTTTTTCGTCCTAGAGCGGGCGATATTTCGTGTAATCATCAAAAATTTAGACTTAAAAAAGTTTATTGAAACTCTTAAAACTAAAAGAAATATTAGAAAAGAACTGAACACTAATTACAAAAAATGTTTTAAAGTATACATATTGATGAGAAGTCGAGATAAATCGTAGTACTACGACTCCCGCCTTTAATGTGTTAATATTATTATTATTAAATGCTTAATTATGCTAAATGCTTAATAATGCTTAATGCTTAAAATTATTATTATTAAATGCTTTTCTCGCATCTTGAGAGAACACATTTTTGTCACGCGTGCATAAAATTCATACTGTTCACCGTTCTGCGAACTAATTTTCCCTCCATTTTTGGTTTTATTTAAGTCAATAATAAGTCCGACGATCTTTTATTTAACATATTTTCTGTATTACGCACACTTATTGTACCTACTGGATATTTATTATATATTTACTATACTATTTCTTCCGTTTATATATATATATATATATATATATATATGTATATATAATATTCTTTTTCTTTATTCTACTCGTGCGAATCTCTTTTTTCACCTATCCCTTTTTTCTCTCGAAACGAAGAGTTCTTCAGCCGCCGTGCACGCGATTAAAACTGATCATTAACAATACGCGGTTTAATAAACATCTCGTTGCGTTCGAACGGGATCGATCGACGCGGAAATCGAGCGGATCCCCGATGGATCGATCGGCGGTGCATCAGGTATTTGAATAGCGAGCCGGGCTCGTGATCAATTCGATAATTCAAGTTCCGCTCGAGTACTCGGGTACTCGAGTATTTGGAGTGGTGGTCGGCCGGCTCTAGTAAAAACATTGGCTTTAACTTCGTTCTAATTCTAAGCTCCATCAACTATATTTACCGAAGCCCCCCTTTCATTCATTCCGAGCACGCGATCTCTCTTGCTATATGAATTAACGTGCGCGTTTCACGGGCAAACCGTTGTTATTTTTGTCACCGACCGGCTATCCTCTGTATCGCAAAAATCGTGTTTCATCTTTTTCTCGGCCTGTAATTACGCGTGTCGCTCACCCGCCGACTACGGGATTTTGGCTTTCCGCGCGAAACGAAGGGCCGGCGATCGAATCGAATCGAATTCGATCGAGTTCGATTCGCGCCGATTTTTCAAGACACGAGAATGATACCGGATGAACGCAAACTCCTTCTTGGTTCGTTGTGAAACTCGCCAACGAACGTCGCGGAATCATCTCGTGCTCTATCGGGTTTATCGCGACCGTTTGAATAAATAAACAAATAAATTGAACGACCGGCAAATAAAAGGAAACGAAAGGAGCGTATACACCGGAGAGAGAGAGAGAGAGAGAGAGAGAGAGAGAGAGAGAGAGAGAGAGAGAGAGAGAGAGACACACAAATATATAATGAGACGGTGTGCTCCGTCCGTGGCATCGACCAGACGACAGACCCCGTCCAACTATAGTACGCTAGTGAAATAATAGCAACAATTCATCCGCGATCGTCCTCTGTTCGACGTTCGTGTTGTCATTTCTTGCGCGTATTTGTTCATTTACCCGGCCGGCGAAAGACCTCCGTCGTTGCCACGCAATACCGATTCTCTGTCTCTCTGCGTCATTTAAAATCGAACGTTTTGTCCTCGGTTATTGAAAACAAAAAATCAGTTGCGCTTACCGGCCGGATATACATGAATGAAAAAAATCTAGCAAGAAATATAAAAACAAAGCAACCGTTCGCGCAGTCGCAACGAAGTTCGCGAATAAGAGAGAGAAGAAATGTTCGCCGCGAACCAGACACGGTTTCGGAAAACCACCCTTTCAAGCTATTCTTAGACACGCAGCAAAGAATACGTGCGATATACTTGCCGCAACAGGTATACGAATGCTCGATAAAACCATCGGCGAATCTCGCGATTCTCGCGGAAAATTTCACTTCGCGTACTCTAGCTGCGACTGTAGGCCCATCGAGAAGGGCGCAAGAAGCAGAAGAAGAAGAAGAAGGAGCGACGACGGAGGTGTAGCGGACCTTTGAAATTCGAGGGAGCGCCATTGCGACCAGTTTCTGCATCGCGAAACTATTATTATTACTATTATTATTATTATTATTGCCTATTATTATTATTATTATTGTTGTTGTTGTTGTTGTTGTTGTTGTTGTTGTTGTCTATTATTATTATTATTGCCTATTATTATTATCTATTATTATTATTATTGCCTATTATTATTATCTATTATTATCTATTATTATCTATTATTATTATTATTATTATTATTATTGCCTATACGATGCTGCGAGCATCGAGGGGAGGTTTACGGGAAAAGCGGGTAGAGCTTTCTCCGACGGTGACAATAGGGACACAGAACGCAACGAGAACTGGAGGAAGAGGTGTGGAGGAGGCGGAGGAGGAGCAGGTTGCCGCTCGAGCTGTCGTCCGATCGAATTCGGTTTATAATACAACAGCGCAGAACGAGAACCGAGGGTCAGCGACCAGAGCGTGTATTTCCTCCTATATATGTATGTACGTCGTGCGCCATGTCCCATCGAACGTTTTCTCGTTACAGGTGTATCACCGATCTACCTTGAATAATAATTGAACTTATAGCTTGAAACGAAAAAAAAAAGAAACGTTACCGGCCGGTTTCGATCCGCCTATCGGTGATCGCGATTTATCGCGCAATTTGGTCCCCGTTCGTGTTACGCGCCATCCCTGTGATAACACCGCGTCGGTACGAACGGTTCTCTGCATACGCGTTATTACACGTTTCGCGCGTTCGACGATAATATTCGTTCCGCCGAGCGACAAAGTTGCAACGGAATTGGCGGGAGATTTAAATGGCGGCCGGTTCGACGCGCGAACGTCGGAGCTACCTTCGACTGGATGCACCGATTTCGATGAAAGCAATATCACGGTTTGTCGAGGTAAACGCTGGCTCTTGCGACGAAGTCGACACTAATTTGTTGTCAATAATTTCCGTTTATTTGTTCTTCGCGACGAAGGGCGTCTACGTCGATTTGCCGAAAAAGATAAAAATAAATAAAGCGTGTACGTCACGCGAGACCTTTTCGCCTCTTCCACCGTCGTGAAAACCGTCTCTTGTTACGCACGACTCGATGCGTTCGATTCTCGTATCGAACATCGATCGAACGACGATAATATTTGTCTCGCCGGACGACAAAGTTGCAACGGAATTGGCGGGAGATTTAAATGGCGGCCGGTTTGACGCGCGAACGTCGAAGCTACCTTCAATTGGATGCACCGATTTCGATGAAAGCAATATCACGACTTGTCGAGGTAAACGCTGGCTCTTGCGACGAAATCGACACTAATTTCTTTTTCAATAATTTCCGTTTATTTGTCCTTCGCAACGAAGGGCGAATTCGCCGAATAAATACGTAACAATAAATAAAGCGTACGTCACGCGAGACCTTTTCGCCTCCTTCCACCGTCGTGAAAACCGTCTCTTGTTACGCACGACTCGATCCGTTCGATTCTCGTATCGAACATCGATCGTAGCTGGTTCGATCGTAGGGCGAGAATCAGCGCGGGAACGTTCGAACGTTCGCCGAAACAACATGTACCGAATGAAATCAATAACGATCGTAAGAATGAATCGAAGTGTGGATTTTAGATACGTTAACTCACCGACTCGATACGAACTCGATCAGTCGAGCATCTCGACGTCCGTTCACCAATCGATCGATCTTCTCTTGCCGCGCACTGAATCGATACGAAGAAAACAAAGATGGCGAGATCGCGCGCGCACTCCTCACAGATGTTCCGATCACGATCTCGTGATCGGAGGATATCGTTGCCGGGGTGCTGCTCTTGTTTCGGTGACGAGGTGCCACGGGCGCGTTCCTCGTATTAAAATATTTCCATTTATCTCGGTAAAATGCTGGCCCCGCGGTGTGCTGCGTCGATTACGTTGTGGATTACCATGAAGGATATTATAACCTGACGTCGCCGCGCGCGGTTTACTACGTTCGCCTGGCGGTCCACTTGTTTTCTGTAAACGTCGAACCAGAGATACGGGATACAGCCTCCATCGCGAAAACAGTTTACTCGATAACAGCCACACGTTTTTCTCTCTCTCTCTCTCTCTCTCTCTCTCTCTCTCTCTCTCTCTTTCAACCTTTTTCGAATTCTCGTCGCTCGTCGTACAGGTACACACGGAATGCAACACGCGCGCGCGCGTCGATGTGCACGCTCGCGCGTGTACGTGTGTGTGCGCGCCTGTACGTATATGTACACGTATTATATTCACACGTATGCCTTCTCTACGTTCTTCAGAGAGACTACGTTCGGTGACTACTACGTCTATGTCCTACGACTACGTCCGCGTTTATATCATACGTGTGTGTGTGTGTGCACACGCGTACGACGATATGCAATATCTACAGACACATCTGTGTATAACACGTATACGTATACACGCGCGCGTGTACATGCATGCACACGGTTATGCATATGCATGCACATACGTAGAGAGGGTATATATGTATATATATATATACGGTGTACGTATGTAGCTGCTAGCGAGAAAATACAATTATCGGGAGGTTAGCCTAGTCAAAGGAGCGAGGAGAAAAGCCCGTTCTCCAGAACGGACGTCAATGGTCCCGCGATCGATATCTCCCCACTAACACCCTCGCGAAAGAGAGGTACGGTACAACTTTAAGATCAAAACAAAAGTTCTCTTTAAAGGCGGCTTTTACGTAGAAACAAGACGCACGAACCTTTTGGCACGAATCAACTTGCACTCGTTTCTGCCGATTGAATCAACACGCGTCACTTCGCACGCCGGATCTTCGTCGATTCGTATTCGTATTCGTCGAACACGTATTTGTTGCGACGACGACTACGCCGACTACAGCGACTAACTAACTAACTGCGAGACTACAAACGACTTGGACGAGCGTACGACACACGGCAGCTACTACGACGACGATATCGAAAAGAAGCTTTTCTCGGTCCCGATCCTTCTCTTCTTCTTCTTCTTTCCTCTCGTTTTTTCCTTCTTCTGTCACTCTCCTCTAATCCTTGTCCGTTCACGTATCGTCGGGAGACCCGTGTGTATCGATAGTTTTCTTGCTCGATCGAGACACACAACTCGCGGTCTTCCTCGCGCGGTTTCCCTTGGATCGATGTTTATTAACAAAACTTTTGCCACACTCGAAACAGTCGCAACAGTAGCAACCACACTCGCGTAAACCGTCGGCTGTCGTCGTCGTCGTCTTCGTCGTCGTTCGAAGCGAGGCGATATCACGGGTAGAAGAAGCACACAGAGCTCGGCCAGAAATCAGGTTAGCTAGGTTAGAATATCCTGGCTGACTAGAAACGGTGACTAGAAACACGCACGGCTTTCTTAAAATATTTTTCACGTGCGGCGAGCCGTCGATTCGCACTGCTCCGTAGAAGATTCAAATTTAGAAGCGTCGTATCGGACGGTAAAAAAGCGGGCCGCGCGCCTCGACCAGTTCGCGGTCGAGCCTGAAATAAAGATTTGAGGAAGTCGCGTGGAGAACAGGGGAACGAGCGAAAGAGAGACCGAGCGAATCAGACGGAGAGCGCGCGCGAGCGAGAGAGAGAGACAGCGAGAAAGAGAGAGAGAGAGATCCAGAGAAAGAGAGTGAAAGAGAGAAGGGAGGGGAGGCTGGCCGTGTCGCACATACCAGTCGGTCCACCTCGCCTCTGAAGCGAGCCACGGCACGCCGAACTAACGTCGACCAGGCTCGGCCGCTGATTGGCTGCTCGGGAGATCGACGTCAGACGCCGTCGAACCAATTGCTGTGACGCTGCTTGCGCGACGCATGCGCGCCACTTCCAGCCAGAACGGTCGTGCTGGCATTCCAGCTTCGACCGCGCGCTCAATGACTTTATCATCCTCGACTTTCAGCTTAACAAATCCGACTGATTCCACCAATGCGGACCGATTCGGCTAAACAACGGCCTCTTAATCGTCGGCCGCGTTATCGATTCTCGTCGATTCGTATCAGCGATCTGTCTCGATCAGAGATTCTTCCCACTTCGACGACCAATTCGAAAAGAAATATTCGATCGGTGCTGTTGCTTTTTCAAGCCTATTCTCTCCGATTAATCCGTCTCCTCTTCTCTCGTCTTCTCTCTCGTCTTCTCTTCTCGTCTTCTCTCGTCTTCTCTCATCTCCGTCGTTCCCGCCTTTCGAGCACACAGTAGAACTTCCAATATCAGAACCATCCGTCACGCAAATACTTTTCACCTGTAATCACAGCTCAATCGAAGACGAATCATACGCGAAACGATTTATTGCACGAATCAACGAAGATAACGTCCGGCACTTTAAACCGAGAGCGACCGTTCTATTGTCCGAACATTTCTGTCACCGTACCTCCCCCCGAACAGACCCCCTCCCCTCGTGTTTTATCATCGATGCACGCGTCCGTTGTAACCAACTTCGATGCCGCGTCGAATCGAGTAGCGGTTTCAACGAAACGGAATATACAGTAGTAGCTCGGAAGAAAAGGCGTCGAACGTGGCCATTCATAAATGCTCTGCCGGTGCCGCGCGACGGCCGCGACGACGAGCTGTGCATTAAATGGCGTCCGACGGTCGACGTAAATCGTGTCCGCAAAAAGTTTAGATAGCCGCGCCGCAATAAAGGTGGCGGTATCTTTACACTTTATTAATATTTCGCCGGCCAGAAATAACGCACGGTTAAAGAATCCGACCGGCGTTCTACACACGGAGGCCTGTAGCTTCGCTTTCCCAAAGTGTAAGTCGCAGGATGAAAATAACGATCACATTATAGACTCTCTCTCTCTCTCTCTCTCTCTCTCTCTCTCTCTCTTCGCCGCTTACCGAACTACAATTATCGATCAGACTGATAGTATAATTCCCCGGGCAAGATAAGGGAATTACCGTTCAGCTACCGCGAAACAATGTTGCGGTAAACGGTGGTAACTCGTCGTTTCGTGCGTCTCGACGACCACACACCGCCGCCGACGACGACGACGACGATCGTTCAAACGAATATGCAAACGGTATAGTACAGGGTTCCCCGGAAAGAATCATCCGATTTCAAAAATTTATATTTTAAAAAATTACACACAGAAAATTATAATTCAAACACGAATATAAAGGGAAAATGTGCGAGTTTTACTTTTTATTATTTTTTTTCTCATGTACCAAACCGTTGTGGATTGGTCGCAGTTCATCCGATAATATGGTTCTACACAAGTTGGCCTCCGAGATCACCCGACCTAACCCCATGCGACTTCTTCCTTTGGGGATTTGTGAAGGATCTTGTCTTTGTACCACCTTTACCTACAAGTGTAAATGAACTGAAAAAAACGCATTTGTGATGCTGTACAAACAATTACCAGAGATACATTATACACCGTGTTTGGCAAGAACTTTCGTATCGCAACGATATCATACGTGTAACGAAAGGAAGTCATATTGAACGCTTGTAAACAAAAGCTCATACATGTTCCCCGTTATATTCGTGTTTGAATTATAATTTTCTGTGTGTAATTTTTTAAAATATAAATTTTTGAAATCGGACGATTCTTTCCGGGGAACCCTGTATATATCTCTTCTACCGTGGTCGTTTCGCAGCGGAACGCAGAGAAATCCGGGAACCCGAAAGAGAATCGGTGTGCTGCTCTCGGTAATCTTAAAAATATTCTAATCGATAAGGAATCGTTGAAATATTCCGCGGCTTTCTGCAGCCGTTTCGCCGACCGAGCACCGCTAAAAGTCAAAGGTGAAATTGCCAAAATGTGCCGGGGATCTCCCTCCTCCTTCTCCTCCTCCTTTAGAAACCGAGTCTACGAGAACTTGGAATCTTTTTTTTATCCTGCACGATGCGTTACTTTCGGTTCCGTTACATTCCTTTCTTTTCCCGTAAACAGTTTCCCGCATCGCGATCGAATTTTTTCCATGTCCTCGTCGATGTAAATTATTTGAAAAATTCGTCCGATTTTTCTATCCCGTTGGCGAGCGTCAGGCGTGACCGTATTATGTATTTCGCGTCATAGCATTTAATTTAGCTTCAAGTTTAGCTTCAAGAACCTTTTTCGAAAAGAAGTTGGTTTCTGATTTTTTCCTTTATAGTTCTAGTTCTAGTTTCCTTTATGATATTATAAAAAATATTATAAAATATTATAATATTATAATATAATATAATATATATACCTCGATAAAGAGGATATTTTATATTAATAATATAACAATATTATATTATATATTATATTATATAATATTATAATATTATATATATTATATTATATTATATTATTAAATATTATAAAATATCCT